AAATTGGACGCGCTGGCTTTCTGGTCATAGTACAGAAGCTGCCGCCGCACAATTAATGGCTAGACCGAAAGCCCAAACTAAGACGCAATTTCTTAAGAATTTTGGTAGACAGGAAACTTGCATAACTGTGCGAAACATGACGGTTCTTCTTCTGCTTCTTTTTGATCTTCTTTTATTTCACTTATGCAATGCGCTAGCTGCAAAATGTCAGGCCAAATCACAGATCACAGCGATGCCCTGCCGCTGCAGCCCCAATGAGCGGCCTGGTCCAACTGAGCCAATAGTCACGCCTACCAATACCTTTAATTATAGTGGCAGCCGCCAAGGACTGCCAACCCAGAGCTGTCGTAGCTAAGGCTACGAAACATGACGCACGTATAGAAAACATATTTCAAACTAAACAAACTCATCAGAAAAAATGTTGGAACGCGTGCAAAATTAAAAGTAAAGCGAACAACGCACACAGGAGCAGCTGAGATCAGGTTGAACTGAATGCCGCTTGTTATGCGCTGCACAATGCGCCAAGGTCGTGCGATTTGATCGCTGTGGGGCGTTCACAGCGGAGGCTGCGCCCAAAGACCAGATGACGTCACGGCGCTAACATCTTCGATATGTCTTTGACTATACTTATAGATGGAGTTAAATATATACATATATATAGCAGAAGTCTCCTAAGCTATGCTTATGTATAGAAGACCCATTTGTTAGCATCGCCTACATTTCGCGTTAGCGCCTCATCAAATGCTAAATTCTTGGAGTTGGAAAATTGCTTAACTTTCGGCTTGGTTTGGTTTGCTTTTGGCTTTTCGCTTCTGCTGTTGGTTGGGCTGCTGCTGCCCTTTGGGCAATTTAGTAATTATAAAATGATTAATTTTTGTGCATTTCTCAACACCTTCCACTTAGCGAGCGCTGAGCGCGAATGGGGATGAGTTTGTTGCCAGGGCCGTGGCCAGGTCCAGGCGTTAAAGCGCAACTACTGTCGATTTAAGTGCCGTTGGGGCCATCGCTGCGAGAGGGTATCATTAGGCCGGGCAAAACAATTTAAAATAAATGCCGCAACTAGCATAATAATATTAAGCAGCGACTGCAGCCATTGCCCTGCCATAGACAATTTTCATAATGGGCAGAAATAAATCTGCAACGGAGGCAGCGCTCACTGAGCCACAGAACACAACTTAATTAATAAACTAATGAGCAGTTTGCAGGCAGCCAAACGAGCTTCAGTCCCAGTCCGACCCGAGCCCAGCTGTACCTGGGCGAGAGAGTGATATAATCTCACATGAGCGCGCTCAGCGGCCCAGCCTCCGTTGCCCAGCCTATTTGCAAAAGATCAGCGAGAAATTAAAATAAATGTGCAACGTGCAAATATGCCAAAGATCCCTGAGCAGAAACGTGTTGCAAAGCCAAAGAGAACAAAATCTGGAAGCAAAACAAAAATACTTGCTTCATGCAAATACCAATTCGGAAATGCTACGTGACTGTTAAGGCAGGTCTGAAATACATTTATAAAAAATTTAAGTTTGAGTTACTGATGTCTTAAATTTGACGAGCACACATTTGGGTTCTCTTTAATGGCAAATAAATCTAATGAGATAAGAGCTTGACTAGAGCAGACGTAAATAAGGTGTCTGCGGCTTGTCTTGAGATCTAGAACTAGATAAGCTGCCTTGGCAGCAGCTTAAGTTATAATTGCTAAACGGTTTGAATCATACTTTCGCGTAACTTGGGCAAAAACCTTTTCTGCCAAAATTTAACTTGTTCGGCCATAAAAGAACACAACTGCATAAGCCATTTAAGAATCTAATGAAAGTTTATTTTTTCGCCTCATATTTTGGGATAATCGTGATGAGAGTGTTGAAGTTTCTGGAATTTTTTAAGCATTTAGTAAAATATCGGAATGCAGATATATAAAATTCTAGTGCTTTGCATTCAAAGTGGGTGACATCTTATGATGTTTAAAAATATAAAAAAAGAAGCTTCATCTGTATTGCTCATGGTTCTATTCATCTGCTTCTATTGTCTTTAAAAAAAAATTATAATATTTATTCATATAACTGAGTATAATTTATAATGGTTTCAAAGAGGAAACACAAGTTAACAAGTAGCTAGCTGAGTTGTTTGTATTGCCCTCTAATGTTCTCAAGTTTTTTTTTTGTTCTTTAAATTTGGCTATAAGAAATTATCTGATAGAAATGTTGACGGCAACTTTGAAATGACGAAAATCTCTTTCAATAATACTTTTAATTAAAGAGCTCATTTAACTAGATAAAGTTGAACTCCATTTTCCATTTCTTGATATGGCCAAAGGGTTAAACTCCATGTTTATTCACACGTGGCAGAGTTGTGAGTTCAGCTTAGAGTTTTTGAGATGCTTAAGATTCTATCAGCTAAATAACACAAAGCTGAGGGCAAACTACAAGAATCAGAGCTCACAATAAATGAATTTAATTACGTTAAATTGACAACAATTATATTTAAATACATAAATTTTGCATCTTAAATGATTTGTCCATAAAAACTGAAGAAGTCAGCTAATGATAGAATCTTTTCATTGAGAAATATTATAAATATATTTAATTCATTTAAATTATTAATGCTTTAAGCCAATTCTAAAAATGTCAATTGTGTTTACGTTCATTGCTGAGATGCGAGTTATGAGAATAGTCCAATGATGCTTAGAGAGCTAATCTCTAACCATCACTTCACCTACTCTAATACCTTTCAGCTCAGCCATTTCAAACTCATTGAAAGCACATAAATTCTGAAAGTTCTCTTATCCATGGTTTCACGTCTGCAGGTATATATATCGAGACTTTATAAGAGCTTAACTGTATATAAATTACATATTTATAAGCTAATACAGTTTTATATTATTTTTGTTCTTTGACATGTCTGACACATGCCATAAAAAACTAAAAGCGTTATTTTTACACCTGCCCAGTCACAGCAGTATTTTGAGCCAGTGTTGAGCTGGCAGAATTATTTGTTAGTTGTAAGTTTCCTTATTATTTGTGAGATAAGATTGCAGGCCGTAATGGTGAGCACTTAAAACAGATGCTGCCCACTTGAGATTCATCATCCAAAAGTGTTTGCTAGCAAACGACAACAAAAAGAGGCTAAAATAAGAGTGAAGAATGTTTAAAGTGCTGTAGGCATTCGCAGTGGAGGTAAATCATTTTGTTTTCACTCTTATGGTGGCTGCCGCAGTTTAATTATCACAATTCCAGATTCGGTTCATGTAGCTGGAGCTGGGAACAGCTCATAAATTGTGCGGCGAACAAGTTGATGCTGACGGCGACTGTTGCGGCTGCTGAATAGCAACACAAAAAAAAAAAAAAAAAACAAAAAAATTGAAAAGAAGAAGAAGAAAGAAAGAAATATTTATTGCAAGTTGTAAATTGAAAATCGTCTTAGTTTTGGCTGAGACTGCACGACAAGCGACTGGAGCTGAACATGGTTAAGAAACTATTCAAATCAATGAAAACTGATAGCCTCGCAGGCAAGAGCCAAGTCATGATTAACATAGGCTCGGCCCTAAGTACTACTCTACTCACTGGCATGCCTGGCCAAAGATGGCACCGTCCTTCGATTCCTTTGCCGCGTGTAGCATTTAAGCGACATGCCAACACTTGAGCACTTGACCATGCAACAGCTGCGCCTCCTCCCGCTCCTGCTCCTGCTCCTGCTCCTGCTCCTCCTTGTGCTCTATGCCGCTGCAAACGTATCATTAACAAGTCACGACAAATTCGCGGTCAGACATTTGAAAAGGCAATGCCAAATTTGGTGTGGACATTGGCATTAGATAAACTCCCAACTCCATTTTCAAGTACAACTCCAACTGCAGTCCCTAGCAGACGTTCCTCTTTTTTCTACTTTATCTCTCTTTCTCTGGCCCAAGTGCCAAGTACATGGACAGGTTGGCTGGCTGACTGCCGGCGGCTGCTTTGAACAGGGACCACCAGCCAGTTTAGAGGTGTGAAAAATCTAAAATGCAAACATGCAACGAGTGCCACAATATCTCTGGACCTGCGCACTCCATTTGTAGTTGCTCCCCTGGGCGCTGCCAAAAATAAATAAAAAAATAAGAATAAAACAATGCGCAAAATGAGAAAAACAAAACAAAACAAAATCAAATCCAGCTTCAACTCTTCTCATACGCATGAATTATTTATTTCGATTGTCTGCGCGTTGTCTTGGCGCGCCTGCTGCATTATTTTTAGTGGCTTTGAATTTATGTGGCGAGGGGCGAGTGGCGAGTGGTGGGGCACGCGGTGGCATGGCACGGCATTGGCATGGCCGAACGCGCAAATTATCGCAGGAGCATGCAAAATTTATTAACAAACATAAAAATTGCTCGAGAATTTATTTCATCTTAATTCAATTTAACAACTTAAACAGCCATAAAGTGTTCACATAGTAAATCAATGCAACGTCCTATGCAGAATTCTCCACATGTCCACATGCATCTGCATCAGCGTCAGCATCAGACCTAGCCAGCAGTAGTTGTTGTTGTTGTTGCTGCTGCTCCTTGTGCTCGCTTGTAAATTTATGAGCTGCGCATGAAAATGAGTCAAAACAAATTATGCCGGCAACTGCTGCGGCTGATTGACAGCGTTCCTTGGCAGCAGCGGCAGCAGCAGCATCAACAACAGACGCCGCCTTAAATGTAGCAAGCAGCATCCAGCGATTATGATGTGAACGAGATAGCTATCAGTAGGCTGCAACAATTTTCAGGCATTAATCATTCAACTAAATATATGAGGGTGGATCCATAATTCACCATCACAAGCCCAAAAGCTACTCTCACTCTCCTCTGATGGGCAGCATTTCGACATACTCAATTTGGCGTAATATCCAAAAATGTCTCGAGGCTCCGAGTTTTATATCTACTAGATTTTAATATCTTTATATAGATTGCATTGCTGGAATGTTTTGTGATCATTTTATTAATGGATTGTGAAATAATTTAAAATAATTTAAGTGCTCGAGAGGGAGGAAGCTTAGCTCTGGCAATAGCAGCCATCGGCGCTGTTCTTTCTGATCCAGTCGACGAATTTGCTGACTCTGGCATAGACGCCAGGCGCATTGGGCTGGGCACAGCCGTAGCCAAAGGACACAACTCCAGCGAGCTTGTAACGGCCCTCGTTAACAATCAGTGGACCGCCGCTGTCGCCCTGGCAGGCGTCCTTGCCACCGGAACTGACCAGGCCAGCGCAGAGCATCACATCGGCAATCTTGTCCTTGTAGCGTGTGGTGCGGCACTGCTGGTTGGTGATAATTGGCACGCTCACCTCCTGCAGATAGTTGCTAGTGCTGCCGCCTTCCTTGACCAGGCCCCAGCCAGCGACAGTGGCCTTAAAGAGAGATTGAACTTAGAATGGTCAAAGACAGTGACTCAGCCAACGAACTTACAGTTTTGCCATCAAAGTTGTGGTTGACATCGGGCAGACACACGGGACGCATGTTGCCAGTGAGCGGAACTGGCGACTCGAGTCGCAGCAGCGCCACATCGTTGACAATGCGAACGGGATCGTATTTGGGATGAATGGTGGTGCGCACCACCTTGCGCACAATACCTGGATCAGACGATGATCTGTCCAGCTGCAGCAGACGCACCGTGATCTGATCCTTGTTGCCGTGCACGCAATGAGCCGCGGTCAGCACATAGCGATCATTGATCAGCGAGCCACCGCAGAAGAGACGAGCATAGTAACGACCCTTGACCAGCTGGGCGGTCCAAGGATATTTGTTGCTACGCACCCTCTGGCCGCCTACAATGCGATTGACATTCGGCGTGCCGCAGACTATGAAAGGGAACGCGGTTTTATAATAAATTTGGCAAGAGTTCCATATATCGCGACTACTTACAGCAATTGGCCTTGGTGGTGCAGGTGTTGCCGTAGCGCGAAGGACGTGCTTTCACATCGGAGAGTGGCTCCTCCACCAGTTGCTCCACTACATCCCCAAACTGTTGGTTGATCGTACGCTGTGGCACCAGGTATTCATACTGAGCCTGGGTAAGGCTAAAGGCCAGCAGCAGTGCTGCCAGGGCCAGGTAACAACGCATCTTGACTGGAGTTTGTTTGGGTGGCAATTGACTTAACTGTTTGAACAGCGCGTGCTACTTATAGCAGATCGGTCAGCGACGCTTCTTCTTTGTTATTTTTGTTTATTTTTTTTTATAAAATTTAAAATATGAATGTTTTATTGCTTGTTCGAACAGTTGGCAGATCGCACAATTTGTATCTTTCTTTCTTTCTTTCTTTCGCTCATGTTGTCTTTCTCCGCTTTCTTTGATTGCTTTCAGGTTAATTTACATAAAACTTTAAAAGATGCTCGCAGCCAGAACCCAAGTTGCTGATAAACGTTTTAACATTATTGTTTTTAATACCCTTTATTTGTTGAACTGGTTGTGTTATGCTTGGAAAGATGGCAGAGTCTGAAAAGATTTTACTCTGATTGCTCAGATCAACACAGGCCTCATGGCTTTATAGTTTTCTAATAATAAGATATATACATTAATAGTTTAAGTGTGTTAAAGAGATGTATTTCTAAAATATCATAATACTCATTTCAAGTCAGTTTGCTGCCTACAGGGTATTCGCTAGCATAACATCTTCCAATTACAGAACTCGTATTTGTTCTTGTTGAATATTTTTTTGCATATTCAAAAGTGGAGCAAACTTTAGGCCGCCTCCACACATGCTGCAGCTTAATGGACTTTTAATGTGTCGCTGGAGAGGCTTAGGCATACTCATCGTCGCCGTCATCATCATCAACGACATGATGATCATTGTAATCTTTAGCATCGTCAAGTTGAGCCGGCAGTGACCCAGCTTTGACCAAAATAAACTTAAGCTCAAACGAAACTCGCTGAGTTGGCGAATTTCGAGTGGCTTTCGTTCGACTCGCATATTCTTTGGGCAGCATAAATTGTGTCGTTCACTTGCAGCATAAATATCCTTTAAGTGCTGGTTATCTGGTATCATCATTAACCAGCAGCCAAAACGCCTGCTTTCACGCTGCTGTGCATAATTTACTTAAGGCTGAACTTCGCAAACAACTCGTATATATAAAGCCGCAGCATACATATGTATTTATTTGCCAGACATAACTTTATGCAGCACAGATCGAGCTGGAGTCGCGTTGCTCTCTCGCCTGCTGGCTGCTCATATTTTGTGCGCCTGGAATGTCGTCGCTTTTGGTGTCTGCCCCCAAAATGATGTGCCTCAGGCGCATTCTGCACTGCAAAATAAATTGTTATTAAAATAAAAAAGGGCGCAGAGCATGTCGATCGAAACTGCAGTAACATGTGGCACAAATGACCAATTTTATAATTTTATAATTAATAAATTACACACAATTTCGCAACACTGAGAATATAACACTGTTTGTGACTAAGAAATTTATTTTTAATGTTATGTTTAGTAATTTAAAACAATTTATTTGATTGCGAGTATAAACAAAGTAAAGCGGAAATGATTGAGATGCATCATATACTTTTCATGATTAATTTGAGAAATATGTACTCAAATGATATATATATATATTTAGTTTTTGTGATTCGGCTGAAGGTAAAAAGAAGTTAGCTTATTTGCCAAACAACTCTTGTGTTACAGACGAAATGTTGATGTTGATTATTCATTCTCTAAAGTGACTTTTGTGCTTCTTTTTAAGCAACGCTAAGTAAATTTTATAGAATTTAAAGAAGTTCGTAGTCGTTGATATAATTTTAATCTAGTTTTAAAATAAGAAGTCATATGACAAATAAATTTTAAAACTTTCACAGTCATCGTCATAGTATAGAAAGAAAGACTGGATCAATCTTAGTTGAATATGACTAAAATATTATAGAATAGAATCTCAAACTACATGCTGGATGGGGTGCTTATACTTGTATTGAATCTGCTCGACATTTCCTTCTTTTTCCATCCCTATCTCATTATATTTTTAAATAAACCAGACAAAGAAATCGCAAACCCTTTCAAAATAATAAATATTAAAATCTGTTTTCTTGTTCTACGAATGATTTACAAGTTTATGTAGTTAACTGCCTTAATTGACATATGTATAATATACAGCGCCTTTTACTCTAGCAATATTTATATTCTTGACCTAGTTTCAATATTGGATTTATTAAGCAAAACTCATAAATCTTACTAAAATCAATTAGTCAAAGATCCATATCTGATTTATGCTTTTTCTTTCTAAATAGCATATAACTTAATGTATAACAGGTCTACGCGTGTCTACGGCTCATTTAGCGTCATTCTCAAACGAAAATAGAAATAACTTTTACTCTTATGCCAACCATAATAAAATGCAAATATCAAATTTGCGTTTTCGAAATTTCTTTGCTTTGTCTATTTGCATAAAATCATAAAAATATAGCGAAAAGCTAAACGAAACTAAAGCAAATCATTAATAGATTAGAAAAAGACAGCGAAAGACATTTCGAAGGCGTGAGTAAATTTCGAATCAATAAAATAAATGAATAATAAAACTGATTTTGAAAAAATATCTTTATATCTTAGTTTTCGTGAAATTATTGTATTCAATTAGGTATTTTATTTAAGTGGAAGCTGATTCTATGAAATTGCGTTTGCATCTAATCTTTATGTAACACGCGACAGCTGATGCTTGTTGCATGACAATTGCACACTGAAGTGGGCGTGGTAGTGGGAACAGAACAATAACAATAACAAGTTCGTACAGTGCATTGAACCGGGCGAGCAAAACGAAAGACTTAGGCAACAAACTGACTGCATGGCAAACTATAACAAAAAGTTTAGAAAGGTTGAATAGCATTTGGCTTTCGCATGGATTGGTTGGGAGACTCAATGTCAGTCAGTCAGTCAGTCAATCATAAATTTGCATAAGAAGATAATTGCATTATCTAAGCTGCAGTTACCAGTTGCCAGTTGCATTTATCTAGGCGGCCGAAGCAGAAGCATTTTAATTATTGTGTGTGACGGCACAGACAAACAAATCATGCAGATAGATCTATGTTTGCAGAGCCACAAACTGTTTCTTGGTCTAGCCTCTGACTGACTGATGTGCTGCATTTGATAACTGAGAGACTGGGACCCTTAGATAATGAAAAGGAAGCAAGTCTGCCAGTAATTCAAATTTGTTGCACTCACAGGCCGTTGGGCAAAGAAAACTGTATGAAGCAGCTACGAATCTAAAGGTTGAGATCTTTTGCAGTAGCTGCTGCTGCTGCTGCTGAACCAACTGGCAACATCTTCTTCCTCAATGACATTAATTCATTTTGTATGCAAAGCAATCAGTGACAGTAGCCGTGGTTCTTCTGGCTCCAGCTCTGTGGCTCCAGCTCCGACTTCGTCTCGGACTCTTGGCAATTAGAAAAGAGTTGGAAAATTGTATGCGAGCGTAGTCGTTGTCTGGCGTTTTCTTGTTCTGCAGCATTTCTAAACTGGCACTGCGCTGTGATTTGCATTGCACGATTCTCAACTTAATTTAACATAAAGTAAACATGCGCAGTTAACAAGCCAAATACAAGCAATGAGCGTGCGGGTGCCAGTTTCTTGACTCAACACCACTCCGGGTCCAGGTCTAGCATCCAACCAAGGGCCATCCATACATGCAAATGTCCAGCATCCGATTCAAGTGTGATGTGCTGTGCAAAATCTAGAATATTTCAACACAACTCTAATCCAAAGAAAGGCTATCCCACAGCTCTTAAGCCACAAACTGTTTTGTTTTTATATATCAAAGTATTTAAATTGAATTAATAATTTAATTATTATTTTACTTGACATTTTCTTCATTTTAATTGAAATTTGTCATATTAGTCAATTTGTTAGCCTGTATCTCTTGGCGACGACTCTTTTTGATGTGGAATATGAACTTATCTTGTGCAGTTAATATATATACAACTGTAGTTCTAGCAGTAATATTATAATAGAATATATGAATCACGTCTAGTAATCCATTCATTCACCAATTTTTGATTAGAAATAGCCTGCTAAGTGTTGGAAATCTGGCGCTGAGGTGGGTTTTAGTTGGGCCAAGCGAAGCGTGCTGCATACTTTTGGGCTGAAACTTACATCGGGTTACAGATTGTATTTGAATACATAGAAAGAATGTTATTTATACCCGCTTAAAAATATTTATATTAAATATTTATTGATGCGGAACATCAGCCTTGCTTTACGTTGTGATGCTAAGCACTTGAAATATAAATTTTATACACGTGTGTGGCTGCGCCAGTTGTAAGATAAATGAAAAAAAAAAACAACTCGAAGTCTTTTACAGTTTAAGTTTAGTTAGGTCCAACAAATTTTAAAGCTAGGCTCTTGAGATCAAGTCTCGTTCTCTGTGGCAGCGCAAATGTCTATTTCTCTCTCACTCTTGCCTAAACTAAACATTTAATCACATATAGAATTGATATTTGGACCCATAATTATTTCTATGGCAACTCAGTTAAAGGCTCAGCTGCAGTTCAAGTGTAGCCTAAACAAGAGCTTTCTCACAAGTCAACGAGCCAGGCGTGAGACAGTTTAACATGGCGTAGAGTGAGGAGTTTATTAAACTGCCCGTTCGCCTGGCCTGACTCAACAGAACAAGACCACGAGACCAGCTAGCAAATCCTTGGGTAAGGTAATTGATCATTTGAGTTATAAACACGCACCACAAAGTTGTCTGGCTTGGCCTGAGCGGGCCTGGCTGTCCGTGTTCCAATGTAAGCATGTCGCCATGGCCTTAGCCACAGATGGCAATCGTTGTTATGGCCACGCCTGCCGCATGGCCAAAGGGCCCTGTGGCTGGACGCTTTGCATGTCTAACAATTGTTCTTCTAATTGCGTTTATGGCCAAAGGAAGCTATGGGCAGTCCAATAACATTGGCTTGTAAACGCAATCGGACAAGATAATCTCAGTCAGCGCCCCAAAAAAGGGTCGTTGCGTTGACGTGTGGCATGTGGCATGCGGCATGCATTTGGGCGCAACAAATTGCCGCTGAATTCTGATTGAGTTCTTCAAATTGGCATTGGCATTGATAGAAAAGCGTTACATTTCGCAGTTATGGCTCGCCCATTAACTGCTCCAGCA